ATTGTTAATGAACAACCGCCACCTAGCAATGTAATTGTTAATGAACAACCGCCACCTAGCAATGTAATTGTTAATGAACAACCGCCACCTAGCAATGTAATTGTTAATGAACAACCGCCACCTAGCAATGTAATTGTTAATGAGCAACCGCCATCTAGTGATGTAATTGTTAACGATCAACCGCCATCAATTAATGCTATCACTAATCAACAGCAATCACCAATTATTAATGAACAATTACCGCCATCAAACATTGTTATTATTAATGATCAAAAGTCAAATATTATTACTACTATTAATGAACAACCACCGTCAAATAATGCAACTATTAATGAACAGCCACCAATAATTGATGCGATTAGTAACGAACAACCACCAATAATTAATGCGATTATTAATGAACAACCACCAACTAATGATGTTCTTAGTTCCCAACCACCACCAAATAATGTTATGATTAGTTCTGATACTACTACAATTAATACACATCAAATCAACACAAGTAATCAAATTACCGTTGAATCCAACTGTAGTGACAGTAATTCAATTGAACCCAATAATCAGTCAGAAACCCAATCATACAATCCATCACCTTCGCAAAATGTCCAGCATTTACAACTTTCAAATCATGTGGGGCCTTTGCAAATTTACTCAAACCATGGATATTCCACAAGATTTTCAGAAACCATTGATTTTACTGATGATTATCACCACAGAGACTATAATAATAATAGCAATAACAACAATAATAATTATGATAATAATAATAACAACAATAATAATTATAATAACATTTATAATTTCAATAATAACATTTATAATTTCAATAATAATAACATCAATGATGATATTAATTTTAATAGTAACCTTTATCACACTAATAATAATATTCATAATAATGGTATTTATAACTTCAATAATAATAACATTAATCGTTAGATCTTTAATAATTTCATTCGTTGGTGGCGGCTGTTCGTTAATAGTGGTATTCATGTTTTGAGCGTTAATGTTATTTGGTGGTAGTTGCTGTTCATTAACAATTGTAGTAAAATTTAACGGTTGAACATAAGTAGTTGGTTGAGTATCATAAATAGTTATTGGTTCAGTATTAGTTCTGGTAGCTGATTGGCTATCATTATTATTTACAAAATCATTGTTATTGTTAATAATACCATCGCTATTACTATTATTATCGTTATTTTTATTATTTCCGTCACTATTATTACTGCTACTATTATTAATTTCATCTAAATCATTAAAAATCGGCTTCACAGTTAATCGTGTTGACCTACGATTTAAACGCTTATCATTATTGCTATTAACTCCTGATTCACAAGGATCTTTTTGTAAAGAATATCTTTTAGTCCTATTGTTGGTTGATCTGCGCAAAATAAAATTTGTTTTTTCTTTTGGACTTGTTGGAGGAGAAACAAGTTTATTAAGAACATTATCGGTATTATCATCGGTAGTAATAGTATTGGCAGTGATTGTTGTATTAATATCATTAATGCCGTCAATGTCGGATGATAGTTTTAATGGCTGTGGTTGAGGTGGATGAGGAAAAGAAAATGATTCTTGCATTTGTTCTGGCAGAGGTGGAGGAGGAGGAGGAAGAGGAAATGAAAAAAGTAATTCATTCGTTTGTAGTGATGATGATTGTCGTTTTTGAAAAGTTGTTGGTTCAAATTGAGCATTTGGTGGTGGTAGCGGTGGTAGCGGTTGTTGCATTGGCAAAGCTGGTTGAAATGTTTGATCTTTTGGTGGTGGTGGTGGTGGCAGTAATGATGGTTGGAATGGTGGTTGGAATAGCGGTTGGAATAGTGGTTGTGGTTGTGGTTGTAAAACTTGTGATGATGATAAAGGTATAACCTTTGGTTCAATTTTTTTGATGGGTGTTTTTATCAAGAATTCTAAATCAAAGGTATTTGGTATTGGAATGAAGCTTAGCCATTTTGGATTTTCTTCGTGACGAGGAATAAGATTTTTTTTCATATAAATTTCAGTCACTTCTGAAGTATGAGCATCGATCATTATAGCTTTGCTGCAATTAGTCCCAACTATGATATGTTTAATTAGATACATGCCAGTCAACACATTGATGAAACAAGGTGTTTCTGGAATATAATAATTTTGAGTATGTACGAATTTTATATCTAATGGATTATTGTCTTTATTATTTTCTAATGAATATTCAAATAAATAAATCACATGATTTGATGATAACACAGCCAAGTAAAGATAGCTTTTTGTTTCTTTGACATCGAAAGTCATACAATCTTTTGAGATTTCAGTCAATTTAGTGTAATCAGATGCCCATTGGAAAACCTTTAATTTTTCCTCACTACTGATATCAGCCTTCTCCAAAGAATTTGATAACTGTTGCTGGATGAAGTCGGTTAAATGAGAAGAAAAATTTTTTGATAAAGATTTTTGATGAAATTTTCCGGTTGTAGTGTTTGATTGATTAGATGTTGAGGATGAGGAGAAGGTAGCAGTGGTGGTGGAGGTGGTGGAAGGAATAAGAGGCAGGTCTTGAGATTTAGAACCTTTTTTATGTGACAATAATGAAGAAGGTTGTTGTTGTTGCTGCTTTCGACAATTGTCACATTTTTTTTTAGTCTCTTTATCATTGACTGATACAAGACTTCCACCACCTTCGTCAGCATTTTTACTACATTGTTCACATTTTACGCCAGAATCTGTGAATTTTTTTAAAAAAGTCGGAGCTTTTGAGAAATCCACAGAAACTTGAGGTTTAGAATTAAGGACAAACTTGATTAGATGTAGTAAAGATGATGAACGATATATTCTGATTTTTTGTGATTTTCCAGCTATTGCAATCATTATACCATAATCGTTTAACATTTGTAATTTTTTAAATGGAATTCCACGCATTATTTGAATTGGTTTCATCACTTCATAACGAACAGAGAAATCCATAAAAGATAAACCCTCATCATTTCCGATCAATAAATATTGCTTTCCTAACATGGCAGCACAATTGTATGATTCAGCGTGTCGAATATTTGGTGAACCTAACAGTTTAACTTCTAGTTCGCCTTGACCAACTGACGGGACGTCACGTATTTCTCTTTTCACAACTGTGTGTGAACGTATTAAATCATTTGTTGTGTTCTGGAAAATAAAAATAAGTTTTCATCGATTAAAATTATTATTAATTATATATACATGTATATATTCACACAAACCTTTTTATTTTTTATAAATGAACAAGATCTATGGTTATTTCCAAGATCTTTTTCTTGTTTTGTATTGAATGGAGAATTGAGTACATTCTCACTTTCATTTAAAAGAGTTTCGATTATTCGTTTTCCTATTCCGTTATTTGTACTTGGTAAAGGCAAGTTAAAAAGCTGTTCGTTAGGAACATTTCTTGCGAATAAGGAAGAAAATCTTTTGTTGGTGGTATTATTAATGCCAGCATTATTAATAATGCTTACAGCATTAACGCCAGAAACGTTAGTGTTAACGTTAACATTAGTGAGGTCAATAGTATTGTTATTTGTAATAATATTATTGTTATTAGTGTTGTTATTCGTGATAATGTTATTTTTATTAATATTATTATTTGGAATATTTGAGGAAGGAAATGGTTCAGAATGCATTTTTTTAAAAAACTGGATTGAAAGAAAAATTATTTAATTTTAAAAATGGAAGATTCTAATTGGTTATTATTATCATTGTTTGCTACCATTATTTACCCATTTTTCTATTAATAAAAATAGTTAGGTTTGATTATTTTTTTAGTAGATCAATAAAAAAATAATTCTTTTTTGAAATTATATTTACAAATTCCAAAGAAAAAATAATAAGCTCGATGAACCCCCCCCCCTAAATATTGATATATATGTATATAGAACAATAATATTTAATATATAAAATGCTAAATATAAAGTACTAATATTAAACCCTAATTACGCGTAATTTAGCGAATTTTCGAATTTAATTTACGTAAAACAGGTAATTATTTTTTATATGATTGATAATAATAATTTACAACAATTCACAAAATATAAATATAAATATAAATAATAATATTAATAACAACAGAAATATGAGAAAGAAGGAAAAGGAATTCTGATTAATAAAAGCAAAACCAAAAATTTTTATAAATATAACGCTAACGATATTAATAAAAAATCATAAAAATAATATTCGTGTTAGTGGTGGTAAAAACAAAAATCCAGGTAACGTAGCTTCTCAACGCAGATATTTTACAAAAGAAGAAGAGTCAAAATTATTCGAAGCTGTTGAAATCCATGGATACGGAAAAATTAGAAATCATTCGGGTAATGTTAGAACATGTAAAACTTATAAAGATCATTGGTAAGTTATGAAGAGATGGAAAATAATCGCGATGGTCGTGGAAATGCGGTTTTTGGATGATGGCGGTGGGATGTAAGAAGAAAATTATAATAATATTTATTTCCGATATTTTAACACTATTAAATAATAATTATTATTATAAAAAAATAATGAAATAAAATCCACATATCATTAAGTTTATAAAAATCCTAATGCAAATTTGATTTTTCTCATTATAAATATTTGCTAAATTTTGAAATAAATCCGCACTTGGTGCTAAAGTTTCTTTTAAAGCATTTCTTTCGTTATCATTATTACTACTAATATTTAAAGTGATTGTGATTCCTGGGTATTCTAAAGTCATCGGAAAGGATTTAAAAGATGAAACTGGCAGTGGAATTTCCGTTGTAATGAAATTAGAATATTCACTCGATGGAAACATTGACAATTTTCCAAGCGTTTCTTTCGTTATCGGAACAAAATTTGTTGTCATTGATGTTATTGTTGGTGTTGTTGGTAGAGAAATTCTTGAATCTCTGAAATTGACTGCCATTGGTGACGACGACGACAACGACGTTGTCGTTTCTGTTTCTTGAGAATTAGAAATATTCAAGACTGTCAGAATTATTATTATTAAATGGTTTATTATTGATAATTTTTTCATTTTTTTTTTTATTCTTTTTATGAAAATCAGAATAATAAATAATTTTAAGGTGATAATGTCCGTCCATTAAAATTATTTTCTTTATGTTAACAACTGTCCCTATAAGGCTTTATTAATATTAATAAATATACACTTCTCTGCTATCACTTAAAAACTCGCATAATCATTATACATAAAATCTATATCATTATGTAGCCTAGTTTTGATAAATAAGTATGCGGATTTTCCCAATTTTAGCCATATACTTTGGTAAATAATATATTTAAATCAGTTGCAACAAAATCAGGAATAAGAGACTTGAGAATAATAATTTCTGCAAACTCATTTTTACTGGTAAGAATGCAAGTTATTGGTTATTTTGTTGACACTTTTTACTGGGGCTTGGTGGTCAATGAACTTTAGTAGTATAAAATTCCTTCAATTAAAGCATCCTTTTAGTATTGCCATGGACGCTTGATATAAGACAATCATTTATTAGGTGATTTCTAATGTTTCAAGTAGAATTATCAAAACCCAGCATATTAGGATAAGTTATTTTGACAAAGAAACATGGCAGGTAAAGGGCTTATTATTATTATTTGATTGGATTGTAATTTATATACTAAATGATTAACTTGTAACTATTATTGTTATTATTATTAGTTGAATTAAATTAATGGATTTAAAATACTGACAAATTGGAAGAAAGTTTTTTAAGATATCAATTACTACTATTACATGAAAAACGGGGGTTTTAATGATAAGAACAAATATATCAAAATTTAATTTTCATTTCGTCACTCCTATTACTTACTATTGCTTAAAAATTTCGACAATTTATAATTCAAATAATCAAGGAAATATTTATAAAGACAATGTTTTATTGGCTGCCCATTATTCGTAATAACAATTTCTATTCTCCTTGATCAACAACACTCAAAAGTTTGGGACTCCACTCTTTTGACCCCGCCTCTTTTTGGAAACCTTTATCATTCTAACTATAGTAGTCCTAGTAAAGCCAATTGCTTTGGAAATACATGGAATCGTGAATCCACTTTATAAAGTCCAATTCACGTATAGATTCTTTTAAACTATTTTAAATTTTAGTAAAAATTAATTTAATCAATCATGCCAAATCACATGATTGATGCCATTTATTATTATTATTAATATAGTTGCATGTCATGTGAAACGCGATCCATCACAAAATTCTTAGTAAGGAGTTTTCTTATTAATTTAGCTTTTTATGATATCTTGCAAGTATTAAATGGGATCATTATAGTTAATATTTAATTAATTGAATTGTAAATTATCAATATTATCCCCCAATACCATATTTTGTTGAAGGTAAATGAATGATAAAATAAAAGTCATTTAGAAAATAACGTGATGAAATAATTCATCTAGGTGCTGTTTATTACCAGTAGGCTATCAAGTTTTACAAACCTATTAATTCATAATAGCCATCTACAATTCAGCAGTTGGTCGTGCATTTTTATTGACGTCAAACTCCAAAAACTATAGATGTCCGATGCCTTTGTATATGGTTTACCGATTAACACTTCTGGTGCAATATATGATACACTCCATTTTTATTGGATGGTGATTTTTGATCTATATGACAATAATGTAAACGAGAGTATTCTATTTATCTCTCCATTACCATTGTAATTTTTTCGTTAAAAATCATAAAGAGTTTCATACGGTAGATATCGCATTACAATATATATTCTTTTGTAACTGGAACTCGTATTAAACCATCAATTTTAATTATACATGATAAAAATAAAAATATAATTATTATTGGTGAATCAAAATTTTTATGTGCGACCTATCGCCAAGGTTCCTTCTTCTATATTTACCCAAGTAGCTTTGTAGTTGTGATTCAAAAAAAGTGTACAATGCGAAATTGTTTGTTTTTGATATCTATTCATTAAAAAGAAATACATAAAAGAACAAACATAGTCCTTCTTGAACATTAAATGTGACAAATGATCGTCTATCTAAAGTTACACTGGTTTGTCTGGCAAAGTTATTCAAGGAACACATAATGTATGTCAATTTCACAGCCTACTGTTTGGCGATACGTTACAAAAGTTCTGTGCTTATTGAAATTCTCAAATGTTGACCATTCGTCACATTGGAGCCCGGGTATCATGGACACAAGCTCATTTTGAATGATAATCAGAGCCGTACAATCTTTACAGATTGACTTTCTCGTAACAAAATTCGCAGACGACATAAATATGGACAAATACCATTTTACAAGTTAGCAAAATCGCGGCACAAAGGAATGGCCGGGGAAGGATTTCATTGAAGGGCAAAATGCCGTTATTTTGTTTTAATGATTGATATAATGGACGGGTCTTGTTATCATATCGCAGACCCAGCTTTTGCGTGCCTGCTACACGAAGGTTGCAACGGTCAATGATCCGAAACATACATAATTTGTTGCAAAAGATTTCACTGCTAAAAATAGGACTGGTGCGTGTTTGACTGGTAATCATCATTCAACAGTCCAGATCTTTAATTCGTTAGAAAACGTGTGGTACATTATGAAGAATGGTGTTGAAAAAAAAGACGCCTAAAAATGATGGCTGAAAAATTTTCTCAAGAGACGGTTAAAAAATATTGTTATGAGGATATTTAGAATTTCTAATAAAATAATTTAAGAAGCTTCCAAATGAATCCATATTTGTTTATTAATTATGTTGTGTAATGAATATGAGTCATGGTGACCACCATTTTTTGAATCACACCGTATATACAGAAACTCTAACACTTTATGCATTCATGATGTCTCCATCAATCTGACTATTATGCGGTCACGCGATCATGCAGTCAGTCACTTTACAGCATTAGCATGAATAATTAAAGAGAGATTAAAAATAAAAACAACGTTGAAAATCAATCCTTCCTTTAAAAGAGTGAATGCAAATGTAAGGAAGGTCCTTCACTACAAAAATTTCCACGAGATGTCAATAGTTTCGAAAAAATTTTGCTGGACACACAGTCATATATTTACATGTTACCATAAGATGCAAAGTTTTTCATATTGTCTCAATGATTGGAGAATTTTATGATTTTTTTAGCATGATAGTGGGAAATTTTCATCGTTGGTATATGACGATGATCTTAAAAGCGCTAAGAAAATTTAGTCTTAATGATTTCCACTTGTATGGATTGGTAGCCTTCATCTTTTACATCAGGCGTAAAAACAATCATCCTTCACTCGACAAATCGTTCCTTTGGAACTAAAAATTCCAAAGACGAAAAAACCAATAGTAGTATCACATTCACAATCACATTATGCAGCATAGATTTATATGTAATTTGTGGCGTTTTGAAATTGAGTTTTTTATATTGAGTGCATACCCTAAAATAACACCTTTTAATTAATTTTATGCAATGACATCAGGAAGATAAAAACTGATTAATTAATATTAAAAAAAAAAAAAAAAAAAAAAAAAAAAACCAAATTTTGACGGAAAAATTGGATGTTAATCTTTATAAAATAAAAACGGATTTACCAAACTTGGAACATTAATATAAATTTCTTTTTAATTTCCAGGTTATTCCGATTGAATATTTTAAAGTTTAATATTAAATACTGATATTAATGAAATTTAAGTTAATAATTGCCACCTTTTTTCTTTTTCATAAACCTGCCCGCATCCATTTATTCATTCCTTATTCAATTAGTTAGAATAAATTAAATTCATATGATAAATAAATAAATTGATGATATTTTTTTTGAAATTAAAACAAGTTTAAATCCCTTTTTGTTTACAGACTTGTGAAAATTACAGTGATAAACAAAGAATATGAATATTTGTTTATTTGATCTACATTAGTTTATTAATTTAATCGTTTGTTTATTGTTGTCGTTATCTGTATGGAGGATGAGGGGTTTTAAAGTAATGGGGCTGGAAAATTGCGGGGTTATATTCTGAGTTGTAAAAATCAAAAAATCATGGTATCTTTTCATAATTTTTTTATACAATCCACCTTCTATTTCCTGCTAGCTTCTTTGTAAGATCAGATCAATTAGTATTCATTCAAAATGAAAATATTGTTAATGTGCATATTTTTGTATGTGAATAGATAGAACGTAAGATATGTGTGTGTGTGTGTGTGTGTATAGATGTGTGTGTCTGTGTGTTGTGTGAATAGGAAGTAGTAGGCATGATGAGGGTAATTTGTGTTACTGATTATTATGATTGTTATTAAAATATTACTACTATTTATGATTTATTTGCAAAGAAAAGCAATAAAGAAAAGTGTTGATTGGTAACAACAATACGATGATGACAATTTGAATTCATTGATTTGCTATTTACAGTTTATTTTACATTTACAATAGAATTCAATTTTGTCATTATATCATAACCAACATCCGTTAGCATTATCATGAGCATCATCATTATTCATACCTCTACACTATTCTATTAATATAATGCTCAGGGTTTATTTGTTTAAAAAACATATTAAAAACATAATAAACATAATAATGTTAACAAAATTGGCATTATTAGTATGCTATTCTTTGTTTACATGTAAACAATAATAATAAATATTATTATTATCATTTTCTGTACTTTAAAATTTCCCTGCTTTTTCCAAACTTGGTAATTACCTGGAAAAGTCATAAAATTATGATTATTATTTTTTACATTCTTCAAACAATATTCTCATTTATTATTATAATTACAAACAAAGTA